GTGCATGTTAATAATTTTAAGTGTTACGGCCAGCTATTGAAATACATGTACTAAGTATTTGAAACATGTGTAAAGTAATTCATTATGATTAACCTTTTGTCAACACTACATATTGATGCTTCAACATGATTTAAATACCCTTGATATTCCCTAAGATTTTTCTGCTTTGCAGTATGCAGTATACTATATACTGTTTAAGATGATGAATTCCAAACAACAGCAAAGTTTTTAAATAAAATAACCCTAGAAAAGCCCATTAGTTATGACTAATTCCGCTTTAAAAGTCTCTCCTTTAATACACTACTACCGGGTACATGTACTGAAAGCACGTATACAGGAAAATGCAATGAAAAATCTATTTTATTTCCCACCTAGCTTTGCTTGTGTTATTCATGTCAGACTAGACTAAAAAGTATTTAACAAAAATTAATTTGAAAATGTAAAGGCCTTAAGAGTTCAGGCTAAAACATCCCTCCCCGTCTTTGTTTTTAATTTATGCCCTGTCATGAATATAGCCGGGGCTGGCATAGCGTTTGACATGTTTGCCTTTTGTCCTTCCTTCCATCACACTTTGAGTTTAGCTCAGTTCCAAGCTCAGTTTCAAAGAAACCATCCAAGGTATTTTTACTAAACTTCCTATGCTGATACATACAGATTTACATGTACCATGTAAGCAATTCAACTGCATCAACAATTTTGACCTTGTCCTTTCATTTGACCTTGACCTAACTTCCATCAAATTGTGTTTCAGTCTGTTTTAAAGAAACCATACATAATATTTTTGCAACTTCATATGCTGATACATACTGATGAAAGCTTTTCAACTGCATCAAAATGTTTTGACCTTGGCTTTTCCTTTGACCTCACTTTTCTGAAATTAGTGTCAAACTTCATTATGCTGATACATACTGATGTAATCGATTCAACTGCATCACTATTCAAGATATTCTGATCAAATTTCACACACTAATTCAAATTTTCATGTTGCATTACTAATACAACCTTGATGTTGCATTACAAAAATAACCTTGACAGGGTATTCATGCCCTATGAACATATTTCTATTTTTTTTTTAAATAAAGTACTAAATCAAAAAAATGTAATTTGTCCTCTTTGCACAATCTTCATTTTCTATTTAGGAAGAAGGTTTCTTTTAAGTGTATGAATAATGCTTCAACTCTTGACAAATGCTCCTTAACATGCTTAAGACAATACCTGGTAATAAATAAAATCAGAATGTTCTCATGAACCCCCCACAGCCATTCTCTGTAAGCATTTAAACTCTTATATAGGGGGTGTGGCACACATGGTCTCGAATTTTTATGAAACTTGGCATACGTTTCTATATTGATGTATGTACCTAAAATTCATAATAAAATGATTGTTATGGTCCATGGTAACCATGGCAACCAACAAACATTTTTCATGGCCTTAAAATCGCTAAATTTTGATGAAAAATGACCCTTTTTGACTTATTAAAAGTCTTTAATGGAACAAACTATCAACGTGACTTTACTTTTTTGCCAAAATACATCATTTAACAGTGCTTTAGAAAATTTTTAGTATTTCAGTTACTTTTTCCTCATAAAAAAATATCGCTCATTTATAGGTAGGATTTTTCTTATGGAAAATTGTAGATTTTAGGCTCTTTTGAAAAGCCTGGTATAAATTTTTGCGGATAGTTTGGAAAAAATGAATACATTGGTTTGAAAGTCCACATATAGTTCTAATATACACTACAAAGAACTACTTGGTATTCATATTTAGTTTTCTTGTTACCATGGTTACAAACTAATGCTTTTTTTTAAAATCATAGAAAAGTACAATACATAGATACAATCAGGATCCATGTAATTGCCTGAGTATTTTAAAATGGATTAAATCAAATTTAGATATATGGTACACAATAGCAAAAACAACGCGAAAAAATCAATTTTCATGACTAAGGGTCAAAGGTCAAGGTCAAAATGACCGATTTTAATAGATACAGTGAAAACTGTCTAATCCGACACCTGAGAAATCCGACACACTGTGGATTCCGACGTTAAATTCCTTTCCCACTTTACTATTTTCCATGTTTTTAACACTGTGCAATCCGACACCCTGTCTATTCCGACACAAAGTTTGTCTCCCAGTGCATATTTAAGAAAACTAAACAGCATTTTTTTCTGTGTCATAACTAGTAATATTTGTGTTTTAAACAACAAATGAAGAAACAGTCACAGTTCTAGTCAACAATAACTAGCATCATATGAATGTGTGCCCATATGGACAGAAGGTCAAAGTTCAAGGTCACAGTGGTATATAAAGAACTATGCACGCTAACTCTCAATTCCCGCCTACATTTTGCTACCATTGTATTCAACATTAATGGCAATTAAGCTATAAAATCTTTATTTAATATAAAAAAACAGTTAAATGGTATTTGATTCATTATTTTAATACCAGTGCTAAATATTAAATTATCCCTTATTCCAACTCTTGAAATAAAGGTGGTGGTGGTGGTGGTGGTGGTGGTGGGGGGGGGGTCGATGGTATTTTCCATTGAAATCGGACTTTCAAGCATCACCATACCGTTATTTTGAAAAAAATCTTGGATGTTATAAAATGTTACGCAGATTTTTTTTCTCATGTTTTACACAAATAAGTAAAACATAAATAGTATATATATTAATAAAATGCACAGTTTTAGCTGTCAATCACTTTGAAATTGGGAGAAAATAGGCATTTATTTTCGTTTTTCTTTTGTCTATAAAAATACCCCCTCCCCCTGTTTTAACATTTTATTATCATGGGATATCTTAAGAAGCCAATGATCTTTTTCAAGTTGAGTTTATACCACAACTTGCTTTGGCTTAAAATGACCCCTATTTATTTCTAGGTCCAAATGTAAAGGTAGAAAAAGACATTGTTTGTATGCAAACCTCTCATTTCCGAGTGATATCTCAAAAAGCGTTTAGGTTAGCTTAATTTTTGTTCATAACGCTCTATGGTCTATACCATATATACTTTCCATATTGAGTGGAAGGCTTCTTGTATGTAGAGAATTGCGCTACAAGCAGGTAAAGACACTCTTCTGCTGTTTTAATAAACTAATCTCTTGCTCCTAAATGTACATTTTTTAAACCATATTTAACAAGCCGAACTTTTAAGTGACAGTCAAAATGTGTTTTCCAGTGACTTTTTTTCAGAGAAGTTGACGGAAAAATCTCATTTACTTTAAATATCATTCTTAAAAAAATGAGATTTTAGCGATGTTGATGGTAAATATTTCAACACAAATATGCCTTTACCTACGCAAAAGATCTGATATTCCCAAAGTTTATAATAATCTGTTGTAAACATCTGCTGGACCTGTTCGAATAATCTGCTATTGTGCCTAAATTAATTGTTTTATTGGGGGGTGGGGTGTCAGAAAATTATTTTCATTATTGATCAAATAGGCCTACTGCTAGACAGATTTAATATTGTACTGCTATAAAGTTTAAACCATAATGTACATGTATCTTAGTCCAGAGAAATGATAAACCGTTCACTTTAAATTTGATTCACAGACAATTTGTATTTCTATGCAACTACCTCAATCATCAAAAATATATTTTTGACTGGTTAACAAAACATTTTATACTTGTTTATCCTGTTTAAAAACTACATAATATGACTGCGTTTACTATGAGTTAGGGGACGACCTTTGATCCAGAAGGGCGGATTAAGTTCATGGCAGGACATATCATTTATTTCCAAGATGTTAGTAGTAAAGGGTACATTATACAGTCAACATTTTTTTTTAAAAATTAGGTCAAGGTCATAACTATATAGGTCAAGGAGGTCAAAGCCCAAGGTCATAAGATTTTAGGTCAAAGTCAAGGTCATACCATTTATCAGTCACCAACCTTGAGACATATTAGGTCAAGGTCATAACCTTCAACAGTCACTGACCTTGATACATTAATTAAAATCTTGGTTCATAAACTTGTATATTAGGCCAGTGTCATAACATATTAGGTCAAATTCAAGTTCATAACAAAATAGGTCAATTAAAACATTTAATATTCAAAGCGCTTCATACATATTAGGTCAAGGTCATACCATTCAAAAGCTTCTAACCTTGAGACTTCGATTTCAACCTCAAGGTCATCAACCCGAAATAAAAGGTCAACAGCAAGGTCATAACAGTTAAGATAATTTAAAGCCTTGCTATAAATTGGAATCCAGCTTTTTAACGTTTTAGACTGACATGTTTCCATTCACCAGGAAAGCTTTAGTAAGTATAATCTTATACATCATTTTCTGTATTTTACATTTTTCCCATAGAGGTGGTCAGTTTTATTAAACTTGTAAATATCATCGGTTATTTGACAAATCAATTTTTCAAACATACTTTCTAAAATATTATAATGTACATGGTAAATTATACAACTCAACTCCAAGGTTGTCAATTCAATTTTTATATTCTACAAACAATTTAGTTGTTCTAATCTTCGTTGTGTTCAGCGCTGAACAATAATCTTCCCAATTTAAACGTATCTATGATAATATGAACACTTAATAATTTTATTAGTTTAAAGACACAAGATTTTTTTTTTGATATAATAGTATTTGATTTATTGTACTCTAAGATTATCATACACAGTGCAATTTTTAATATAAAACTGAATTCATCTGTCTCTAAGAATATGGAGCCGAGAAATTTCCATATAATGACAGTATCCCTCGATTATTTTGATAACCCCTCTATACTCCCTGTTCGTAGAAAAATCCCAGTTCTTTGATGAACCCTGCTATTTAAATTCTTAGTGACAACCTTGCAAATCGTACATGATAAGAAAAATCGCACAAATGTATGAGAATTTATTTTTTTATCATTATTTTTTAATTATGACAATTACAAAGATATTATAATCGGAAACATAATTCATATAAATCGTTAATCATTATACTCGATCATTAAAAGTAATTGCACTATACACATATACCTTTATTGATTTTCAAATGCTTATTATTATCAACGAATTTTACTAACAAAACTGAATACAATGTAGTTTTTCTTGTCTGAAATATGGAGATAATGAACGGTTATCTCTCATGATAGAGTCTGGAGCGGTATTCTCCGTTTACAGTTTTTTCTCACGTAATCTTTCACATATGTTATGAGGAAAGTCGTCTGTGCCAAATCTGCCTGTATGCAACTAATAAGCTCGTCAACCGCCTCTAATTCCTCATGAAGTGGTTGGGATGATGGCTCCTCCGGTGTCGCGCAGCGTCTATTAAATGTAAGTGCTGCATATTTTGTGGCGTTATTTCTTCTACAATAAAAAATAAAGCTCGATGTAGAATTATATACACTTTTTATATGTTTTTTTTCATAAATTTTTCTGTATAAACAATCTATTATTAAAATCAAATTTAGCTGATTTTTACATTACAATAAATCATAAAGAAAGATTTGTTTTATCATAATAGTCTCTAATCTATAGATTTTTATAGTCCAGTGGCGTAGCTGCCATTAGACACTTCAGTTACGTGCCTACACTTAAAATTTTCCGAAAGAAAAGTAAAACCAAAATTGTAGAAAATAAATTTGTCTTCATATATTTTTTACCATTGATATAGTCTCATATAGATTACCTGTGTATAAATTATAATTGGCAGTTTCTTTGCAAGAATTCTAATATTCAGTCTTTGGAATTTTTATTTAATCAATAATTAATTAACTTGCAATTAACTTTTTAAGGCTGCACATTCGAATTTACCTCATCTTTGTGGATGAGGTAACTATTTCTGAACAAACTTAAACTTGTTCATGTAATATTGATTTTATTTTGTCTCTGTGGCTATTTTTTGAATACTTTTTACATTAATTTGTTCTTCGTGTTCTAATTTTAATTACGCCAAAATATATCAAAATTCTCCTACCAGGACCTTGCCTTCTCATCGTACAATGAGCCTTTACTTCATTAAAGACCTATCTACGCTCTTGTATTAAGTTATGAATGAAGTTTTTTTTTAATTTACAATATCGGTTTAAAAAAGTGTGTTTACCTAAATGCCTTCAAAATGGATTGTTCCATGGCATGCTGGTTTTTCTTTTTTCTGTTGGCGCGGGTCTCTTGTCTTTTGGCGTGGATCTCTCGTCTTTTGTTGAACTGGCACAGAGCGCCGCGGCGAGGTTTGAACTGGCATAGAAGTTTCGTCCTTGTTTTTACTGAATAAAAAAATGTGATTCAATATTTTTGCTGTTTTAGAAGAATTAAGTTACTGACATTGGGAAATATGTGGAACTTTTAATTTTTTGATAACAATGAATTAAAGTTTAGCGATAACGTTATATAACAAAATTAAAAGATATCTCGGACGAGTTATTTGAATAGAACTAAGCATAAATAGCAAAGATGAGAATTTCTATATAATTTACCTGAGCAGAGTTAACAAGATCGAGTCTTCAGTTTCGCTCAGTCTTCTTTTTTTGGTTCTGACTTCAGACTGGACTTGCGTCTTAGAGGTTGTTAAGCCTTTGTCGATCTGGGTTGAAATAGTGGTCTGTGTAGTAGGGGCAGAGGAGGATGCCATGGTTTGGATCTGAACAGGTGTACATGTGGTGGTCTGACTTGGGATAATATTTTCCTGTTTAATCTGCACGGTAGTCCCGTCATCCCCGGTTAGAGCAAAGTAGGGATCAATTGGAGAATACTCCAGTCCCAGAATGGGAAGTGCCCAATCTGTTCCTAGGTCAAGCCATTCTTTTTCAAAGTCATCAAATGACCTTGATGGGCTAGATGTGTGATTCTCATCTCTAGATAATAAAAGAAAGATGCGCACTTCAAAATATCTGCTCTAATTTTTGAAAAAAAAATATTGTAGGAAAGTATAATAAACTGAAAAAATATTAAATGAAATAAATAAATTTTAATAATATCCGAGAAAAAAACACAACAATTACGAAGTTGCATGTTCGTTTTTAAAGTTGAAGAAATTTTTTTAAGAAAATAAAAAAATTCTTTTGTCAACCAATTTTATTGTAAATCCCTAAAGATCTGTCGCAAAGGGAATAGCTACTTGCGTGAATTTATTATAAATAAACTTCTCTACTTTCAAGTAATAAGTAACAAACTAAAAATACACAAACACAAAAAAATGAGGTAGTATTTTCACAATCAAATCTTCTATCTGGTCTTAAAAAACAAAACAAAGCAAGTACTTACAAAAGGTCCAGAAATTTTTCTGCCATGATCACAAAATAAGACGTTTTCAAAACAGATGTTTGGAGTCTTGCAGAATTCTCACGTAGTTTGTATACGCAAAGGATCAAATAGTACTGAGAGACAAAAATGTATCATATTTTATACTCATTTTAAATTTACTGGGTGTGGTTTTAGGGGATGTATGTATTTGTGAAAACATTAGCTAACAGAAAACAATTCCTTATAAGGCTATGTTCTATGGAGAGCGAAAAAAAAAACTTGGTCAATTTTTTTTACCTCCCATCAGGACCAAAGCGTCACCTTAATTCTTATGCTCTTTGACAAAGGTCTTAAGTGCGGTTCTCTTAGCGTTCCCAGAATTAAAGCCATATATGGCGTATGTACAATGAAAATTATTAGACTAGAATTATAAGAACTTATAATTTGTATGATTACTTTATATAAAGATAGAACTTTTCCGTAAATTACAAAATCTAAGTCAGTTGCGTTATAAAGATATCACAATTTAATTTGGATTCTCGGAATTTTCTCCGGCTCGGAAAAAAATACAAAAGATTTAAATAACACATTATACAGAAGATAAAACAGTATTATTAGGTGAAACGAGGTGTTCTCCGTGTTCAGAATTGTATGAAAAGCTTTAATTTAAATGTAATAACTATATTTCTTTACTTAATTTTGTATTTTTCAAAAATATATTTTTTGATCAGTTACGCCATATATGGCTTTAAAAACAGAGTCTGACGCAAATCTTATTTGATGAAAGGCGTGTGTTCTTCTTTAATGAGAGTCACATTTATTAAAAGGGTTGTTTGGGTACTTTTATGACCTGCTTTAACTTAAAATCGGTGCCCTAATTTACTTTTAAAAACGCAATGCTCATTTTTAAAAAAAAAAATACATATATGCTTTAACATAATTAAAATTATGTGATGTACACAGTATCATGAATTCAACACTTGTAATGAGAGAGAGAGAGAGAGATAGAAAAAAATGCGTGTATCAGTTTGTGACATATTGTAATAAAATCATGCCAGCTCTAAAATGTATACGGGCCAATGTGATTAAAGAGAGATGAGGAAAGGGGGGGGGGGGTCAGGCCAAGATATGTATGATTATGTATCTATTGTGTTTTGTACTAAATTTAATTTAGAACAAACTGGAAAACTGGAAAAAGTCAATTAATCAATCCATATAAAAATTTCAAAAATGAAAATTAAAGGATCTATAATTGATCTATTACGCAAGATAACAATAGTTGCCGCGCAAAATGTCACGTGAATAAAAAAATCACGCGGCCGAAGCCATTCCGTTCAATCGAAAAATCATGGGCGTGAGGATAGTGATGATGATCTTGGTCATTTTTTCACTTAGGAATGCTGCATTACCATATGACAATTGTATAAAGTGTTGGCCAAATTCATTTGGAATAGCCAAATGTGTAAGACCAGTAAGAAAATGTATTCAGTTTATGGGATTTGTCCGAGACGTAACTCTATTTTCGTGCACTACCAAAATGTTCGACACTGACGGAAATTTGCTCCGCGCAGATGTCACTTTCAGGGACAGAAATGGTCAAGAGTGCAAAAGTAAGTATACTTTAAAGTTTCAACTGTTTCGGCATTCTGTATCCAGACTTGTTTCCGCTACCCTCCAACTTTTATCCTCTGTCAGCGTTTGGTTTACACATTCTGGGGAAATAAATTGTGAATTTTTAAAATGAAAAGAAAAATTATATCTTATTTATTAGTGAAAAAGTGCATGTTCTTTATGATATTGAATTAGCGGTAGACAACTCTGGAAACAGATTCGGTAAACCTTGAGGGTTTCAGAGGAACGGCATCTACCGAGGTTTACCGAATGATTTACGCTTTTCGGTGGTCTGTGACCTACATTTATTGGATACAACTCTGCAAAAAAGTTCTGTTTTATTAGAATTGACATATTTAATTTATGGTTTCAGAAGATGACTCATTGATCGAGTCAGCAGATTGGCTCGTTCAACCAGACGCTCGGCTTTCTCCGTAAATCTCCGACAAGCAGAGATTTACGGAGACAGCCAAGCATCTGGTAGACCAAGACGAAGCCTGATCACCTTTTGTTGTCGGGTTCGGAAAACGATTAACAAATTTCGTAACTTCTTGTTCATATTTCAAGGTGTCGCACCGGTAATTGTTTTCACTGAATGTAATATAATTCTATATAGAATTAAAAATCGGTAAAAATCAGGTATTTGTTTTACATGAAAAAATATTCAAATCCATGCTTAAAGAAGGAAATAGATGACCGAGTAGTAAACTTGTGTTTGCACACATAATTAAATGTTTATTTATTTTGCTACAGTTCATTTCGAGGGAAGTGATGGTAGGTCTAGTGAGAAGCCCCAAGTGTCTAAGTCCCCCACGACTACACTTAGTGAACATAGTCAGGTCAATTCCTTTTTAGGCAGGACACCAAAGATTCAAGGTACACGCACACACAATTTCTCAGAAGTGTTTTTAATGCTTTACACAGTTTAAGAACAATGACAAATGGTTTTGTAAACAAGTTAAAGAGACAAGAAATAATTCAATTATGTGTCAACAAGTGGTATGAATATGAAATATTGATTCCTTTTGTTGTATTTAATAATTAGTAATTGTTTATTTTAATTCTAGATTTTGTTTCAATTTTCATAAAATATTTTTTAAATGACAAAAAGTAAACGGCAATACATGGCGCCACTTAATCGGGAGTGATACAGGAACGATGTTAGATCATGCAATAAAGCATCAAACTATTCCAAAATCATATTATGACAATATGTTAAAAAAATCTCGTCGAAAAATGCAAACTGAGATGGCAATCCAGCTTTGTGAAAAAGCTGGCGTGCCTACCACGAGGTATTTGGGTTTAAACGACATAGAATCTTTTGAAAATTTGCTCGATGTCTGTATTAACGTCGTGTCGTCTAGAGTAGGAAACAAGTTTGTCAGGGTGACGGACGACCAAGGAAAACCCCGCCTCTATTTGTATCACGTGGAGTCGGAAAAGGAAAAACATTGGCATGGCATCGCAAATATACAAGGCTTTTTTAAAAAGTCGTATTTTTGTCACACTTGTTTAAAACCATACAAAGAAAAATACCAACACTCCTGTTCGACCTCCTGTGACGTGTGTTTGCATGATCACTGTCCAGAAACAGATATCCGATTAGGATGTCGTTCTTGCAGACGTGTGTGTCGGTCACTTGAGTGTTTCAATAGACACAAGGTAAGCAAAGTGGTAAAAAATGACAACATTCCACCCCCCTGCGAATTATTCTACCAGTGTAAGACTTGCAGAGTTACCTTAGAATATAGTAAGCGGTCTCCCGAAAAGCACGTGTGTCAAGAGTGGCAATGTCCTAATTGCAGAGAATATCAAACAGGAGACCACCACTGTTATCAAAAGTCGTATAAATCAGATATAGAAAAAAGAAATAAGAAATTTATCTTTTACGACTTCGAAACGCGTCAGGACGACAACTTTCAGTGTGACCAAGGGTATAATCCATCTAGCATAAGATGTCGGCAATGTGTCAAGGAAGAACGTCGGTGTTTAGATTGCAGATTGTGTCAAAACTGTCAAGATCCGTCATGTGGCCTTCCACAACACAAAGTTAATTTTGCTGTATTGCAAACTTCGTGTCATAAATGCCAAAAAAACAGGAATTAAAGACGGACTCAAAATGCGCAAACTGTGGAATACGATGTGGAAAATGCTCTAAGACACGTAAGTCCAATTTTATTCATTCCCCTTGTCCAGATACTTGTGGATACAGGGAAAAGGTGTTCCATGGTGATGACACAGCCGAACAGTTTTGTTCCTATATCACGCAGAAACACTACAGAGACACATTCTTAATTGCTCATAATGCAAAAAGTTTTGATTTGTATCCCATCTTAGAAGTTCTCATAGATCGTCATTCTATACGACCAAGCAAGATTATTCACAGTGGTTCCAAAATCATGTACATGCACATTTCACAAAAATTAAACCTTACCTTTTTGGATTCCCTAAATTTTCTACCTATGAAATTAGCGAAAATACCGGAAGCTTTCGGACTGGAGGAGCTCTCCAAGGGTTATTTTCCACATTTGTTCAATACAAAAGCAAATCAAAAATACGTGGGTCCTTACCCAGCATTGAAGTATTATGGATATGATTTTATGTCATCCGAAGAGCGGAAAAAGTTGGCTGAATGGCATGCAAAGAAGAGTGATGAAACATTTAACTTTCAAGACGAAATGTTGCGCTATTGTCGCTCAGACGTCGATATCTTGAGGAGAGGATGTTTAGAATTTCGAAATCTCATGATTAATGTTACGACATTTAAGAGCTGCATTGTTCAACCTGACGGAACCATTGAGAATTGTAACACTTCGGGAGTGGACCCCTTTGATTTTGTGACCATTGCAAGCGTCTGCATGGGAATTTTTAAAACTCTCTTTTTAAAAGAAGAGCATGAAGTAGAAATCACAAAGGGTTTAGAGACTGAATGGTATAATGTTTATTGTAAGAGTGGGTTACAGGGAGTTTCTATTGATGGTGAGTGGAAATCCCTAATTGACTTGAAAAAAGACGAAAGTGTACAGACAGGGAAACAAAAATTTACCAGTCCCATTGCAGTTGTACCATCCCAAGGTTACACAAAAAGAGATAACCACAGCAAAATTTCAATTCAGTGGTTAGAATGGCTGATGGAAAAAAGTCTAAAACGGGGGAAACCTGTTTTCATACGTCATGCTCTGAATGAGGGTGAGTACCGTGTCCCGGGTACTAATTACAGATGTGACGGATTTACAGAGACTCCAAACGGAATGGGAACCATTTACGAATTCTACGGTAAGAAAAATGTTGTTTATGTAACGTCTGTTGCTAATTTGCCCCTTTTTCACCCCCCCCCCCCCCCCAAAAAAAAACTGAAAGGGGAGGGTGGAATGAATTAAGTAAATAATTTGTATTTGATTTTTTGGGGTTAGGTTGTGTGTTTCATGGCTGTCGCACATGTTTCCCGCACGATCGATATAAAACTAAACTACCATCCACGAATCAGACGATAGACGAATTGTTTACGATGACAAAAAGGAGAGAGCAAGAACTCAAAGATCTGGGGTATAAAGTGGTCACAATATGGGAGCATCAGTTTAAGTATCAACTCAACAAAAACTTAGAATTGCAACAATTCATTTTGAACTTGGATCTCCAGGACAGACTAAACCCACGTGACAGTTTTTTTGGTGGTCGAACGAATGCCATCAAACTGCACTACAAGGCCCAGAAAGGCGAAACCATTCAATACTATGACTTCACCAGTCTCTATCCTTGGACCAATAAATATTGTCGATACCCTATAGGCCATCCGACTATCATTACTGACAATTTTGAGGACTTATCCCTGTATTTTGGACTTGCAAAAATCAAAAAACTTCCACCGAGACGATTGTATCACCCTGTGCTCCCATATAATTCCAAAGGAAAATTAAAGTTTCCACTGTGTAGAAAATGTGCAGACACTGAAAATCAGAAAGAATGCACTTGTTCTGTAGAAGACAGGGTTATTATAGGCACGTGGTGTACCCCCGAAATTCAAATGGCAACGTCCAAAGGGTATAAAACCTTAAAAATATATGAGGTGTATCACTTTTCCGAATCGTCAAAATACGACGAAAAGTCATGTGAGGGAGGCCTGTTTGCCCAGTATGTTAACATGTTCCTTAAAATTAAACAGGAAGCCTCTGCTTTTCCTGCTGGGTGTGTCACAGAAGAGTTTAAACGTAAATACATAAGAGAATACAGAGAAAAAGAGGGCATACAATTAGATTATGAAAAAATTCAGAAGAATCCTGGTTTACGCTGTCTAGCAAAACTTTGTTTAAATAGCTTCTGGGGGAAATTTGGTCAGAGGCTAGACATGAATCAATCTATGTTTATTCACGAGTCTGAAGCTGAGAATTTTTTTCAAATACTCTCAGACCCAACCAAAGTCCCCCACAATTTTCACATCGTTTCCAGAGACATACTTCAGTTAGAATATAGTAATAGCGCACTTTTCACGTCATTCGATAATAAAACAAATATTTTCTTGGCTTCTTTCACTACAATGTGGGCTCGATTGAAATTGTATAGTGTTCTCGACAAGTTAAATGAGAATGTGTTGTACTTTGATACAGACAGCGTCATATTCAAAGCCAAACAGTCAGACGATTTGAGTTACCTTCCCATAGGAAACTATCTTGGGGAACTAACAAATGAAATATCTGCACAAGAAGGGCACATTGTGGAATTTGTGTCGGGTGGGCCAAAAAATTATGCATACCGCACTCTCTCAGGGAAAGAAGAATGCAAAGTGCGAGGTTTTACACTTAACTGGGCAAACTCAAAACTGATTAATTTTGATGCAATTAAATCAATCATCTGTACTTCAAAACAAATTGAAATTATCAATCCCTGTAAAATATCTAGGGATAGTAGAAAGCGAAAACTTTTAAACCGAAGAGAAGCAAAAAACTATAAAATGGTTTATACGAAAAGACGAATTCTACCCAATTTGGACACGTTGCCATTTGGATTTTTCTGAAGAAAAAAAAAACCAATTGTTTATAACTGATATTATTTTTATTGAATATTGCAGTAAACATAATAAAACTATATGACAATTTGTATAATGTCTGTTTTAATTATATCATGCAGTTTATCTCAGTATGTAAGCCATTGAATGTTTCTCCTGCGTTGAGTATTGGAAACACCTGGAGGTCTCCCAACCTTTTTTGTCCTACGTAAGTAACCATTTCCTGTTTGCACCAAATCCGTTTTTTCAGTTAACTGGTCAGGATTATGTTTTTGATCTTCTGTATGTTCGAATAGTTTGGGTTCATTCCTCGAGTGACTGGTATCCTAATTTAAATTGTTCCCAACATTATCGGATTTTTTAAGAAGGTGGTCATACTTAAGCTTCGGCACTAGTATCATTTCTCTCGCCATTTCTTTTGAATATATCGCACTATAGGTTTCAACAAGAGTGGCACTAGCTGAATATGTTTCAGTAAAATCCGTTTTTTCTCTTTAGTACTGACTTCTCTAGATCCCAGCAATCTAATGTAAGATTCGTAGGGTTTTAACTGGTTTATATACTTTTTGGGTAATGGATAGGTCCCTGTATAAATGTTCAGTGCTATTTCGCTGAGGACAGCGTATTGTTCGTTGGTCAGTACTTTGACTGTCATCTTCTGTTGTGCATTGTCTGCATACAAAAGAAACTCCAATAGAGCTCTATGCTTCTCTACTCTCTGCTTCATAATTGTGTAATGAAACAAAAAGATTCAGTAAATGCTTTTATAATGACTGATAGATAATCATGTCCTCACCCGGTAGAATGCGAGACCTTAATTGGTAGTCTTTGTTTTGAGTAGGCTCCAGACAAACATGAAGGTAGCCAAAATTCGCACGAGTGGCAGATTCATATGCTGCCTTAAAGTAAGGTACTTGACTTGGTAGTATCTGAGAGCCAAAGGTGATTACCTGTCGAGAATCACGATAATTCTTGAACAATATTACAGGGAAATTGTTCTGGCATATTTTCCCGGAGGGTACAGATTTTGGGAAAGCATTACAGTTGTAACGTTTCGATGATGTGAAGTCACCGTAAAAAGATGTACGCAGTCTTGAGACTGCGCAACTTGTAACATGAGATCATCCAAAACCACAATTGTATGATTCACACCCTCTGTATATTGTTCTATGTCGTCCTTCGTTGGTAAGCCTTGGTGTAAAGAAAGGGTCGGTATAGATTTAACCATCTCATCAAACATCTGTTGATGTTCAGAATACGCATAAATAATTTTATCGACAGGCATCGAAAACATACAGTTTGCATTTTGTAACATTTGTTTGGTAAAATATGTTTTTCCACTTTGTGTGCTACCACATATTAAAATTGTGGAGGGTGCAGAAAAGGGAAGTAAGGATTTCGTGTTCCACCACTTATTCACAATATCTGTTTCCATGTTTATTTCTCCACGTCTTATTTTATACTGTGTCTATACCAAATTAGCACACATATATATAATTCAAAATAATAATAAAAATTCAAGATGTCCTTGGTATAGGTAGTAATAAAGACACAAACCAAAAATGAAATCAAAGCTTATGTCCCCATTATAAAACTTATTTATTTAGACAAAAAATATTCATGTATGAAACTACGTACAAAGCTATCGTTGGATTGAATATTACTTGAAAATAATTCATATATACGAGCCAAAGATTTTTTAAAACACAATCTCGCAATTATGAAAACTAGTACATAAAGACCACACAAATTTGAGTTATATGGTTGAAGTCTTATAGATTTGAAATTACAATGTGTACAATTCATGTATATAAAATTCCTAATATCTTGATTGTAATCAGCCGGTGATTTCCCAAGACTATCAAAGAAATCCGCCTCTAGTGTATTATGTATTATAATGGCTATCCAGTGTTCTCCGGGAAGGGGCAAAGGTTGTGAATTTACTATGTAGGCACACGGATAATGTGGTATGGTATTTGGTAACATATTACTTGCATAAACACCTTTCACAACTTCTTTTAAATACGGATCATCTTGTACGATATCAAGTAATTGTTTTGAGTTCATGGCTGGATATAGTTGATTTCACGTGATTTGTCAACTTCCAGCAGAGATGAAAATGTTGCTAATACCAACACATTGGCAGCTTTAGTTGTTGCTTGTTTGAATTTCAGTTCAAGTCTGGTGTTTCCTCGTCGAATTAGGTTTAAATATTCTTCACCAAATCCACATGGATCAACAGTAAAAACAAATAGAGAATACCCGGACTTAAAGTTCTCCCGACTTATAACTAGCCCTGCATCCTTATTCCACTTTCCCGATGCTTCAAATAATCGGGTATAGGCCGACAAAAAATGTCCCGCTGTGAAATCTGTCTTTAAAGGTCGTCCTGGCACGCTTTCGCCGTTTACGTATACTCCGACATCGGATACGTTAAAATGTTCAAAATTGAAGGGATTGGCTGTATAATCACCGTTTACAGCTTTTTGGTCAATCAGACCTATAACGATACGATCAGGTACTGCCTGTGGAAATATATTGTCCCAATAAAACTCAGTAGATCCTTTAGGAATAGTGTTCATTTTTAGTTCATTTCTGGAAATAATGTATTTTACAGGGGTTGACTCCAACTGTTTACTATGGTTTAGTAAAACGCCTGGATCAACTCGTACTTTGGCTACTTTATACACAACGTCAAGTAATTCGAGTTTGTATGCCGGAGTGGTGGCATCAGACATAATTAAAAAGGGGGCACTGGATCTAAATAGTTTGATATAGATATCTACTCCATTGATCAGGTATTTATCTATATCAAATATGTCCTCCATTAGGTTTCCCTCAAGCTCAAAGACACGACTCTGTTGTGTATAGCCATACCGCAATACTAGCCCGGAATTCCCTCCATTGTAAGCATTTGAGTCTGCAAGATTTCCCTCATCTTTAAAATATAACTCTGATTGCTTCTGTGAGGATAATTCTTCTTCTCCACTGAACAGAACAGTTTTCAAATAAGCCTTCCAAGGATAGTTGTTGGTATTGAAAGAGACCAATTTGTTGTTTAAATAAACATCCATCTGAGAAAACATACTTTGCAAAGGCAAGTTTATGATTCCTGTTTTTTTCATTTGCTGCTAAGGCATTACCATCTGCTTTTAAAATCCGGGCTTTCACGTATAATTTACTTCTTTTTAAATCAATATATTCAGCTCCAGAACCAGAGACTACAATCTCGATTGGGGTATCAGCCACCCCTATGCTAGATATTGGTCTTGCTTCCGTAAAGTAGACTTTTTCCACTGCTACTTGATTTGTTGGTGATGCAAAAAAAGAAAGTTCCATCGGCTGAGCAATGTCTTTATTGTTATTACTTAAAAAAGCCATCCTTACTTTTTGAATATGTTCTTATAACTATCGATCTTAAATTCTTTTGGTTTTTGTTTGCTTCTTGATTTTTTCCAAGCCACGCTTTTCTTTTCTTTAGAAATTAGTTTCGTTTTCTTAGGAGATTTTTTTTTCGTTTTCCTTGCAGAATTTGGTATATAATTTCTCTTCTTTACGGGCTTTTGCGAAGTTGACTTCCTTCCTCTCTTTGCATGAATGACAGTAATCTCAGAATGGGGTCTTTTTATACCTCCTTCGACTTTGACAAATGGTGCACCCTGTTTGACATCCTTCGTATGTTCTGATTTTGCTCTTTCTTCCACAGCAGCTACATGGGTCACAAGGGGGGTATTGTCTGGAGTTTGAAACTCTGAATGAGGTCGGATCGGAATGACGTAAGATTTGTGACTTCGTACACCCCTTCCTATTTGTTTTGGTTTATATTTATAAGGATTGAATTTTTTCTCGGCCATGTTTTTATAGAACGCCTCCCAGATTCTAGGATCGCTCACATAAGTCTGGCTGTTCATTATATGACGTATGGAAACTTCTTAAAGTGAAGTGTCACACTCACAGGTCCGTCTAAGAATGAAACTAATTTCTTGTCTTTATCTGTTATATATATACAGATCTGTTGTAGTTGTCCTATCTTTACTGGGATATGATATGGTAACGTGTAACATATGTTACCCTCTTTTTCTCCTAGAAACACACGTCTCAAAAGGGACACTTCTTTACCACCGACAAAAGTCTCCTCACAAATATCACAGCACACGTATACTTCCGTTTTTTTCTTGGACGAAATCCAGCTTTCTGTGCTAAATTCCGTCAATGCTACTGTCCAGTACCCATCGAATTGAACTTGTTTATTTAGTTGAACCCTAAAACAATTTGGTTTGTTGTCAAAATATTCCAAACTGTCTGTTGACGTCAGTATCATACGAACGCTCATCTTAAATAAAGCAACTTCTTGTTCGGTTCTTCTATTTATTTACTTTTTTCAAGAGAATTCTCTGAAATCCATGAGTTAAATTTTTTAGGCCAACCCTCCCACTTGACGTACACCTCTGTGTTTTTTCCACGTTTTCTTTTCTTAAGAACTTTTTCAACTCTATACAGAATGTCATCCGACTTGAAAACTTTTTGAAGTTCTGATTCATAAAAAGTACCATCTATTGGGTCATCTGCTAAATCGTTTATTTTGTATACAGAAATTCCGTCCCTCTTGTAACGCTCACTTATTCTAAAGAATTCTTCTGTCCATTTTTGTTGATAATCTCTCTGGAATGGGTGTTTAATCTGAGATATACGTACATTATCCCCTATCTTGAACTTGAAAGTTGACATTTTCTTTTTTCTCTGTTTACTCTTCACCATTTTGTTTTGATTTTCTATATTTTTGGAATCAGAGCGAATCTTCTTTTTTCCAGCCAGATAGGCAGATAATCTTATTTCGTCGACATTTTGAGGGTTTACTTCTGAGGGTGTTATTCCACCCAAAGATCTATGAGGTCGCTTATTGTAAGTTTTGACTAAATCTTGTAAAACGTCTAAGTACCGATAAGTTCTATTTTTCAGAAAATAACGATACATAAGATTTTTCATGGTACGAATAACTCTTTCAGCAT